AAAAGAGGGTGAAAATTTGGGTGCGTCTTATACACCAAATGTAGCCCCGCCCACCCACTCACCTGCCCCCACCATTTGGCCTCTGCCTCCCAGTAATTTGCCTCCTTGCACCAAACAGCAAACAGCTTGTTTCAGTTTCAGCTTCAGCACAGCCTGATTAGCACAAGCAGCTGGTTGTCGTTTGGATCAGCCTCCCGACCATCAGCTGTTTCAGGCTGCAGGGATTGCCATTGCCATTTGCTGCCTCTGCGCCCTCCATTTTTGGCCTTCGCATCCCGTTTTTGGCCTCTGTACGCCCCGTTTTCAGCCTCCACGTGCGCCATTTCCCGCCCATTCTGATCCCCACCGCCCAGAACGTGCAGAAAATGGGGCACACAGAGGCCGAAACCAGGCGTGCAGAGGCCGAAAATGGGGCATGTGGAGGCGGCAATAGGCTATGGCAATCCCTGCAGCCTGAAACAGCTGATGGTCGGGAGGCTGATCCAAACGACAATCAGCTGCTTGTGCTAATCATGCTGTGCTGAAGCTGAAACAGGCTGTTTGCTGTTTGCTGCAAGGAGGCAAATTACTGGGAGGCAAAGGCAGATTTTTTTTTTTGTTTCTTATTTTCCTCCCAAAAAGCTAGGTGCGTCCTATACTCCAAAAATATGTTAAACCTTATTACGTTGCCCATTCAATGGACTTGAGTGACTGTACAGATTAACCTGATCCCTTGACGTGTCTCCTCTGTCTTTCTAGGGAAGTCCAGGATACCGTTTCCGAGTGCGACTCCTTCAATTCTTCCGTGGGAAGGAAGCAGTCTCCCCCTTCGAGCCTCAAAATATATCAACCCCTGTCACCTCAAAAGACATCCCAGGAGGATGTGTCCTTAGAACAATCCTCTACCGGAGACTCTTCCTCCCTCACCGCCGATATCTCCAGGGATTCTCCGGACTGCGTGGGGCTGACGGAAACGAAAAGTATGATTTTCAGTCCCGCGAGCAAAGTGTATAACGGCATCCTGGAGAAGTCCTGCAGCATGAACCAGCTGTCCAGCAGCGGCGGCAGCAGCAGCGTTCCGCTCCCCAAACCTCGTCACACCTCATGTTCCTCCACCAGCAGCGAAAGCCGAGCCGGGCACGAACCTTCTCCCGCCTCCCGGATGAGTAGCGTTTCACAAGACCTTTATCACAACGGAGAGCGGAACAAAAAACCGTCCAAAATCAAGAGCCTTTTCAAGAAGAAATCCAAGTAAGGCTGCTTGGAAGAGAGAGGGGAAGACTCTCTCCCTTTTCAACCACACGGCATTCTTTTTGACTCTGCGGTCATTATCCTTATTGTTATTATTTAAATTAAGAATGTAGTTGTCAAGACTTTTCTAAGCCACAGCGAGAAATTCTCTTAGGTCAAACTCTTCTTTTTCTTCTGTGTTAAAAGTTCAGCGTTCATCGAGCTGTCAGTGAGAAATTTTTTCAATTTCAAGACAGTTTTACTACTTAACGGTCATTTGTCTATTTATTTCTGCTTTTTTTTTTTT